GGTGAAGCTAGTTTAAAGCTCGCTGCACGAGATCAGCCAACCTGAAAGAGAAGACATGCTTGCCTTTAGGAGAGAGGTGTAGCCCATTCCGCCCAAGCAAGTCCCTTGCACGAAAGCATGGGTTGTTATCCAGGAACCCAAGGCCTGCCTAGTGGCACCAACTCCATAACCTGTGCTTGACTTTGCCAATGCAGGCCTTGTGTTGCCGTCCTTGCCTACTCACTAGGAGAATAGAGGAGAATACCACCTGTGCCCCCGTCTCCTTAATCTTGGCCCCCAGAGGCTCAAAGTCCTTCATGATGCAGTCTTGGTTGCCCTGGCCATGTCATTTGTTCCCACATGGATGAGAACCATGGGGTACTGTTCTGCGGGTCGAATGTAGGCCAGGATCCTCTCCGTGATGTCCCGAACCCAAGCCCCAGGCATGAAGCAGACCTCACGTGCCATGGGGTTGGGATGGCAGATGGAACCCTCCAGTCACCGTAGGATGTAGTCCCCGATGACGAGGACCCGGCATTTCTTCCTGCCGGTGTTTGTTCTCTGCGCCCTCTGTTGTGTGGGGAGTGGCATTGTCCCTGCTGGAGGCATCCCCTTCGTTGTTCTCCGTCACAGCTGCCAGGGCCTCATACCTGTTCTGCAGTTGTACCTGGGGAGCCTCCACCACTCCAGCCCGAGCAGCTCTGGATCTGGTGGACACCTTCTGCACTCCTGTGTTGGATGTGTCTCCTGGGGGGGCTGTATAGTGGATGACTGGGCCTAGAGTGAACAGAAATAGGAGTTGATTTCGTCCTCTGCAGCCCTGATCCCACTCCAGCCTGCTCACCTCAGCCTGGAGCTCCCTCACCTGCCCTTCCAGAGCCCTAAGTCTGGCACAGGAGGGACAAGCAAGGGAACCACCTGGTGGTATAGGCATAGGCTGGGGGGCTCTGCCTCAGCTTCTTGCTTGTAAAAATGAGAAACCAAGTGCCACAAATTGGAAATAACACTTTGATCCTCAGATACTCCAGAGATAGATTCTTAGCTGTGAGTTGCTCAGTTACTATGGTAATGGCTGTCATAAATGAAGATGATTGTCTTCTCTTATAGATAAATTCCTAGGCAAATTCCTGTAGCCTGTAAGTACTGCGTGGGTAGCTATTTCTCTCACTTGCAGATGACTGTTAATCTTGCTTATTTGCCTATGGTTGGAGTGGAAGGGGAAGAGGTAATTCCCTTGTTTTGAATTGGATAGAATTAGTTATGGGAGCAGCAAAGCTGTGTTGTTTTTAGTGTAGAGTCTGGGGTTGGGGAGAGATTCCTCCTGAGGTCCTGACTAATTCCCAGTGTTGGTTTTAAGAAACTTCTTTGCAGCATCTTAGAGCCAAACTTTTTATCTGAAGTCTGTCTGTATCCCCCTTACCCCCTTGTGCCAATTCACCATAATCTCTTCTCCAATAATGCTGGTACAACTAATAAAATGACATCAGATTAAGATTTGCACTTCTGTTTAGATGCTTGCCATCCAAAATAGTAAGTGGTGTTTGAGATGAAACTCACTGAAATGTTGGAGGGAAAATCTGCCTATATTTTGCTGCAGTATGGTAAAACACTGATTTCATATACACCTTTTAGAACTATCTTTTTGAGGAATGTGTTCTCACTATATTCCTTAATAATAATTATAATAATAATAAGAAGAATAATAAGAAAAGATATCAAAGAATGGCAGCAGAACTTGGATTTGAAAAATAAACTAAATTACCTAAATTTTTACTGATTGGACTTGAGCTGCTATCCCCCCCTCTAAAACTTTGGAACAAAACAGTTCTTTTATCCTGAGAAACCTTGTGGAAAAGACTTAGTTTGGTAAGAGTAGTAAATAATAATAAGAAAAGATGTTTATACATCTCTCTCTTTAAGCTACTTTCAACCACTCGCATCTGGTCTGCATGATTTGTTTCAATAAGCAGCATCCCAAAAGGACCAATTCACAGCAACTGATTTAAAGCAGAACTTCATTTATGTTAAATAGATGTCTTCAGAGTTTTTTTTTCACAATGATGGGTTCTTGGATGTGCTCTGGCTCCAAGCTACCATTACATTTCTTTGTGTTGTTTAATAAATGTCAGACAGCAAAATTGAAAAAAAACAAACAAACAATTTTGATGAAAACATTAGTAACACAAATATGAGCAATCCTAAACCAGAATAAACGTGTACTACTTACAATAGACCATGCCATTAAATTTATTGGGAGATGTTGACCTGCTTTTTATTTTATTTTATTTTATTTTATTTATTTTAGACCATACAAATAAATTTCAGTCAAAGGAAATTTTAAAAATGAGCTTTTATCGCAGATGATTATAAATTAGTGAGTCATGCTTACTAGAGTAAAGATTTAAAAGGGTCATAGAGCAAGGCATGAACTAGCTTCATCAGTTGGAAGCTCTTTTTATGCTAGCAGTTAAAAGAACAATTTTAAGATGAGGGAAGAGGAGCAATGCAAACAATTGGATTGGATGAAGACTGAAACTGATGCTTGACATCTATAAATGCAACAGATGAATATTATATGCATGTTGTGACTAAGTAAGGCACTACACTATATTTTAAGTTCAAGTGCATGAGAGGCTTTTTAGTATTCTTTGAAGTGCTGCTGCATTGATAGCAATGTGCACTGAATAGTGGGATACAAGAGCATTTATTTGGTCTGCCTTTATCCTTCATCTGGAGGGGCTAGCCTGTTTAATTTGTATAGCATTAGAATGGGGTGAGATGGTCTCTCTCCTTTTTTTTACTATAGCTCTGTGGTGATTTTTTTTCTCTCATTCTGGCCTGGGCATTGCACCAACTATGCTTGTGACTATTCACTAATGGTTCAGTTCTGTATAAAACACAACTCTTATTCCCCCATTTTCTGTAGTGCCTTTCATCTGAAGTGGTCTTCCAGACCAGTGGTTCTCAACCTTTGGTACCTTACATACCCCATGCTGATCAATGCAGCAAAAGCGAAACCAGAAAGTCCCACCATGGCAATTCTGGTTTTGCCGCTGCGAGCCGAGTCCCACTTCTTCCACCGTGGCCCGGGGCAAAGCAGCCCATGCGGGGCCTCCCTTATCCCCTGGTACACTGATGCTGGGGAGTGAAAGCCCCGGCACACTGGACACGGCGGGGGGGTGGCGGCCAGAACTTCCAGCCAGAGCAGGCAAAGACCAAAACGCAGGACCCGTGTACCCCCTGCCCATGTCTCATGTACCCCACAGGGGTACGCATACCATGGGTTGAGAAACACTGTTCCAGACTACAGGGATTGCTTTACTGGCTACAGAAACCATTGCCTGTGATGCAAACTGACAGTTTACTCGCGGTGCATAAAAATACTAAACCCCGTATTTTAAAATTGAAAATGAAGTATCCGTGTTACCAAGTAAAACTGCAAAGGAGAAATTGGTCACTGACAGTCAGGCTTGCATTGCAACATCTTCTAAACTAGGCTGTTCTGTGCAGCACCCAGCACAATGCAAGCCGTTCCCATCACTGCTTTTTCATCTGAGAGAAACGGATGAAAGGCTGATGTGACTAATGTGAGCAGGGCCAGATTTTCGGAAGTATCCCTTGGGAACTTGCAATATCTTAGCTCATTTCCAGAAAGTTAAGTGAAGCTTTGAATTTGGAGAAAGATCTCAACTTTCCACGTTGGTCATGGGACCTCGAGGTTAATAGAAAAAGGAGTCCTTTACTTGGCTCTTTTGCTTTCACCTTTTGAGGTGCGAGAAGGTGCTGTACAGGATGATGCTTACAAACACTACATGTAAAAGGGTGTGAAGATTTTATTAGGTATATCTACATGCATGCATGTATTCATTCAGGTGCAGCTTTAGTCTTTTAATCAGTGACACTTGATGATGAATCTGAGTTTTACAGACTAATGCACATACTTCACCATCATCTGAAACCTTTAAAAGTCTCCTGTTCTGTTAATTCCTAAAATGGATTTCATTTGAACTTGTAATTCCCACCAAACTCACAGCATGCGCCTGCTGA